TCCGCGAGATTATTGTAAAATTGTCTAAAGGAACATAATACAAGACATCTCTCATTTCGTGAGTCAAAAACTTTTATTAGCTAACTTTTCTATTTAAACAAATAAGTGAGGAAAACAGTTTTTTCACGAATGTATAAATCATTACCATGGAAAATACTTTACAGCACTATACTTTCTCTAAACTGACAGATAAATAGGTCTTTTTTAAATATGCAACAATTTATTTTTTATTGTTTTTGATAATTCTTCAAAATATGCCAATAATATTATCACTGGTATCCAGCCATCTGCCAATATATTCAATATAATTATTGTTTATATCACAAGAGGTAGAACGTTAAGTATATAAGTCAGGTTATCGAAAGTAAATAAACGTGGTCTCGTAGCTCAAAGCGTTACGCGTTGTCCTACTAGTCTAAAGGTTCGGGGTTCGATCCCTGATGAGGTATGGTTTTTTTTCAATTAATATAATATTTCGAAGGTAATATTTCATCGTCCACATTTGAAGACAAATATTTCCACACCAGTTGCTGGTCACGAAGTGAATATTTCTCACAGTGTTGCCAAATATCTGCTGATTCGAGGCTTGCTAGATTGTTAAATTCTGCCAGAAAATCGTGAAATATAAAATACAAGGATATTTATAATACGTAGGATTGCTCGATAAGCAGATATTTTCCCCACGTTAGTGGAGGATGTGACGTCATCGCGGACCACTTCAGATAAATAGGCATACTCGCATTCTGTTATAAGGTGTTTTATTTACTTTCTATATTTAATATGGGGTTGAAAATAATTTTGCTTAAAATATAAACTTTTTATAATCTGTAACGTGACTCCCGGTAAATAAAATTATAGTCAAGTTATACAAATTTCTATTTTTTATTAGCGAAAGGGATGTACATATTTTAAAGATAGCCAAAACTTAATATTGCAAGTTTTTAATTTAGATAAATATGAATGTTCCAAACTTCCACTAAAATATGAAAATTATTATTTTCTGGTTCATTTGCACTTTCAGATGTTATATAGAAATACTCATTTTACTGTGTTAAATCTTTTTAAATATATGTTTAAAGTTAGGTTATTATTTAAATGTGTACTAGTAACTTATTCCGTTGATATTTTAAAAAGAACTAAGCACATTAAATATTTTCTAAAGTATTGTAATAAAAAAAATGGTAAGTAGTAGGTAACAGATTTTTACTAAATAAAAATAAAACAATACAAATGATTAAAACTAGTGTTGTAAAGAGAGTACCTATGCTCTTAATGTGCATTTATGAAAATAATAATAATAATAATATGCTCCGAACAAGTTTCATTCACAAAATAGTAAATAGAGTTTCATTACAAAAAGTGGTGATATTTATAACCACTGGTGGCTGATAACATTTCAGGTATACGTCTAGGGCTGGCAATTTTTGAAAAACGATCGACGTATGACATCAGTGAACGTCACATTGACGTGTTCGATACATTAAAAGAAAAACATCAATGTTTCGATATCTTTTCGCATAACACAAAATAATATAAATAGGTAACTATTATGGATTTGTGGTATGGATAGAACTTCTGCCTTCTACTTTAAATATTTTATATTATTCTATTCTAATGTATAGCAGAAAATACAATTAAAAAAATATACGATAAACATTTAATACAATTCATTTTAATGAGCGAACAGTACTGTAGTTAATATCACAATGATTAGATATCATATTAAAATTACATTACATTACTTGTAAGCTTTGAGAAATAAGATGTACAGGTATTAGTTTGTCTTCTTAAGATAGAACCGTTTATTTTCTTTCAGTGCTACTAATTTTTTGCTTATTGAAAATTAAATTTATTTTTATCAACATAATTTTATTATATTACACATTAAATAAAAAGAATGATTATTGTTTATATCACAAGAGGCACAACGTTAAGTATATAAGCCAGGTTATCGAAACTAAATGAAGGTGGTATTGTGTCCTAAAGCGTTACGCGTTGTCCTACTAATCTAAAGGTCCGGGGTTCGATCCCTGTTGAGGTATGGTTTTTTTTCAATTAATATAATATTTCGAATGTAA